GACTACATATGTAACAAGTTGGGAGTATATGATATATACTCACCAGCTTGAGGGGGAGTGTTAGCGTAAGGGTATTTCTGTCTTTATACCTTGATTGATGTTGCTGATCTGTAATGTTGTGTTGAAACATGTGCTCTTAACTTAAGTAAGGGCACATAGGTCTTTTCAGTCATGCTTAATAATAATATAAATACTTACTGGCTGACTGGGAGAAGTCAGGTTGACTCTTTCAGTTCGAACCAGAATTCTCTCTTCTCTCTTTCTCTCTTTCTCTCTTTCTCTCTTTCTCTTTTTCTTTATCAGCTTTTCTTCTTCTACATCACTGAACTCAGTCAGGCCGAACTCTAAGGCAGACCTGAATTGTAACAAGGCCCAATACAAGAAAGAAACAACTTAGAAATAAAACAATAATAGGAGCAAGTTAAGGTCCATCTGGCCCAATCTTTCTACAGATTCCATATATAACACAAAGGAATGATAAAGGAATTTGCATTTTCATTACTCATCAAGCAAAGGATAACCACAAGAGGGGATAGACACTAATCTTTACATTTTTATTGGAGCATCCCACCAGTATTACTTTATCCTCATAGTGGCTTCTCAGTAAAACTGTAAAAGCTTTGATCTTTTATAGAGTAGGAAAGGTTGGGGAGTTCATGGAGAAAGAAAAATATTTTACAATGGAAAAGGCCCCAATATATCCATAGACCTTACTCTCAAGTCTTGACCTTCAAATTTTAGGAAAACATCCTTTGGTCAACGAGGTAGTGCTTCTTCAATCCGCTGCTATACTTTTTTTCTTTGTTCAATACATTTTATTTTTAGTATAAAATAATGCTGCTTGATTGTTTGTCACTAGACAGGTGTTGGTTTTGGAGTTTTTTGTGAACTCTAACCCAATCCATTTTTGTGGCTTTTCTGGCTTGGCTCCCCTTTTTTCTCCCTTCTATGTTGGAAGCTATGGCTTTTGGTTCTCTTTTAATTAATAAGGTGCTATTATAAAAAGAAGGTGGTTTTTCTACCAATGAGAGAACAAAACTATTATTAATATTTCATACTGTTGTTGTTGTTTTATCATATGAAGAGTACTTGGATTTTCCTACTTCTCTACTTGTTAGATTTACATGTAGACATGTTTCTAAATTTTGTTCAAATATAAGGATATCCTTATCTCTCGTGATAGGTTTTTAGTGTCTTTAGGCGTCAGGGTATTTCATGTAAATTTTCTTTTGAGGATTGCAAACATTTGCAGGTTTTGGTTATTGCTGTTCTGTTAAAGATGATTATGAGACGGCGATTTTCCATAATTCAGGTTAGCTTGAAATTCTAAATGATCTCCTTTTGATACATTTGGTCTTTTAACCATCCAATTGGCAAACTAATTCAAATGAATCGGTGTCTTATTACATATTCCAATTCATTATTTTGTGACAGTGGGAGGCTCTGGCTCTGTTGCTCATTGGAATTAGTGTTAATCAGCTCCGGTCACTACCCGAGGGTACAACTGCTATGGGTCTTCCAGTTGCAACTGGTGCATACCTATATACGTTGATCTTTGTAAGTAATATACTGCATAATCTTTTTTGGAACCGAGGTTGGTATCATGAGTTTATTGTGGATCTAGATTCTATTACTAGCCTGGTGTTAAAAGTTAATGCCCACTTTGGTGTAAGTCTCCTCTAAAGTTGTCCACTTGAAGTTTTGTGATCAATGTATTACCATCACATTCGGATGTTCTTAGTGTTCTATTTTAGTGTATAATCTAATTCTCAAATGCTCAATTCACTTTGTTAGGGTAGTTATCTTGCAAATAATCATCAAATAGTTCATTGCATTTTATATGTTTATATACAAATAAAATGGAATCAATAAGCTTCTTGTTTGCATTTCATATGCAAGTGGCTTAACTGATATTGGTCTCTGTTTTTTTGTCAAAAAGAAAAAAAAAATCTCTGATAAACTTTGTAAAAGATTTTGGAGATAATGCTTAACAATGGCTATTCACATTACAGGTTACTGTTCCATCTTTGGCTTCTGTTTACAATGAATATGCATTGAAGAGTCAATTTGAGACAAGTATTTATCTTCAGGTGATTCTTCAGTACTATCTAATGTGCTTGAGGCCTGGTGGATGAAAATAACCTGGGGCTTCATGGTATTGTGGTTGGATCTGTTAAGAAAATAATCTCCACTTATTTATAATATGCTTCGTATTTTTCTTCCTATTAGTCCATTGGCCTGGATTATTTGTATTTGCTTTCCAAAGAAATCAACTTTGTGATTCAGATGAGTGTTTTGTTGCTTGATCTTAGGGAGAAACTAGAGAAAGCGTAGATCAGAGAGAAAATGGGAACAGAAAGGATTAAATATCATTTCATTTCGTATTTTTCTTCCTATTAGTCCATTGGCCTGGATTATTTGTATTTGCTTTCCAAAGAAATCAACTTTGTGATTCAGATGAGTGTTTTGTTGCTTGATCTTAAGGAGAAACTAGAGAAAGCGTAGATCAGAGAGAAAATGGGAACAGAAAGGATTTCTAATAGAATTCAGTCCTTCTATTGACAACATCATTAGTTTAAATATCATTTCATGAAATTACATGTTTACCCCTGATTAAAGTAACTCACACAATTCCATATATCTCAACATCCCCCTCTAGCTGAGCATAGATATTAATCATGTCCAGCTTGCTAAGACTCTCCAATAACTGAGTTTAAGATATTGATCATGCCATTTTACGTTTCTAAGCTGCACAAATCAATTTCCCAAAGCCTTTAAAAAATCTGGCGGTCTGTACTCTATTGTTCAGCCCTCTAAGTACTGTTCAAGGCACTAGTCAGTGTTGCATGGACATAGGAGTTGGGATCCAATGTGTATCCCAGAATCTGAGTCAGAAAGATGAGAAAAAATGGACTTGTAGCCACATCTATGGAAAAGTAGATACTATTAAAATGATTCATATTGAATTCAAACATTATAACATAAAAAATTGTAGCCTTTGTTTCTAATTGATGTTTGATGCAAAAAATGGATTCACCTTGTATATTAACTGTTCATTTGTTCAATAAGCTAGGAAATAAAAAGGAAATGTTATGTAGAAGTGCCCTTGGAGAATCCGTGGAGTGTTAGACTCAAGAGCGTGTCTGACACAACGCACCATCTATTTAGGAGAGTTCATGCAAAGCACTATAAAGAAGAGAACTTAAGTCTTTCATATGAAAAGAACTATAAAGAAGAGACTTAAATTTCTCAAATTCATTCATCATCCCTAGTTAACAACATATCATCAACATAAATTAGGAGAACTGTAACACACTAAGGCTTCTTTAGACAAAAAGAGAGGATCTGTGGAACTTTGACTGTATCTAACAACAACAATGACATCTCTAAATTTCTCAAGCTAGGTTGGGGAGCCTGTTTCAGTCCATATAACGACTTCTTTAGTTGGCAGACAAGAGCGGGATCACTACAGTATCCTGGAGGGGGTATCAAATATGCCGTCTCCTTTAGCTGACAAATAGAGCCAAGGGAACACAAACTATAGTAGTTTTGACAACTGGGGCAAACGTTTCTTACCATATTCCTATGTGTACCCCTGAGCAATAAGATGAACTTTGTATCTAAGGAACCATCAGACTTCAGCTTGATGGTGTAAACCCATCGACTCCCAATACTAAAAGCATGGCTTGATGAGTAAGAATATGTATAGAGTACAATAAGGACTATAATGATATAATACATCAAAAAGCTCCTCATAAGATATCATGAGTAGCACCAGAACACTTCTTGATGACAGATAGCTTTCTTAGCCCTCAGAAAAGACGTTTGGAATACTCCTTGTGGATCTTAGGCCACAACAGAAGAATTACATTTGTGCACACCATCAAAACTTCTGCTACTTTGAACCACAATCAAAGGGCTTCAACAGAGATTTCACATGCATGGTTAGTAATATTGACAATATTTGGCGAAATATCACTAAAATATCCTCATTTTCTAGGTGGCAATATGGAAACTTGGTATGCAAAATTTCTCTGATTTTTTGCCAATATATTGGCGATATTTCAGATTTCATTGATAGACTATATATTTAAAGTTTAAATTTTTAGAATATTATTAAAAATTTCCATATTTCAGTAAAATCATTGTAATTGTTTAAAAATATTTTCCTAAAAGAACCAATAGGAAATTGTGATAATTGGCTTTTTACTTACCAAGTCACTATAATTCACTATATTTCCATATAACCACAAAAGTGTATTCTCAATCTAATAAAAAAATATAGTAACAATAAAGACAAAAGTTACGATGCCAAGTAATTGACATATATAAGAAAAGAAGATGGCTAAAGACCAAAAGGGAGTTGAAGAGAATATACCTATTACATGTGGAGACTCTATAACTTGATTTATCTTATTAGTATAGTCCTTGTTGTACATTACTTATGCTTATTCTTCTTTTCTCTTTCAGCCCTATATGGGCATTCTTGTAATTGTACATATCTTTTAATATATAAGAGACTCTTTGAGGTGGGAGTCATTCATTCTTGACACCTCTAAGATTATTCTTGTTCTTCTCTCTATTCAGACAAGAGTGTTGACATTACAGTCTTGTAATTTCTTTCCTGTTTGATTTATACAATTCTTAGCTATGGTTTTTCGAGTCTTATATGTGCAATTATATTTCTTCTAATGATCTCTTGTTCTAATAACTAATTCCATGTTTCTACAAAACTTTTCTAATTTCTTAGATTCTCTATCTTAGTAAAATTAGTGAAATATCTCTGAAGTTTCTCCAACTCTACTTGGTGAAATGTTCATCACTATCTAATTTACAAACCATGTTCTCATGAAGCCCTACCAGATTCAATCACCACTTCAGATCATAAAGGAAGCACTTTTGTCTTATGATGAAAGAAAAAGAACGAAAAAATAGAAAGAGAGGCTGATCAAATGAGGTTGAGTTGTTGTTCCACCAACAATCTATTCTCTTCAATTCAGGCATAAAGAAAAGAGGAAGATGATGAAAGCTAGTCCTTTCTATGGCAGATAATGCTCTGTTGCCATGTCAATTGTCATAGGAAGACTAAAGGAAGGAAGGGAAGTCATTGAGAGAGAAGAAAACGTGATAAGAATCCAATGATTAGGGTGTGGTAGTGCCTGAACCCCTTTTATGTTAGAGTGGTTAAAATAAAGTTAAATTATAATAGTTCCCTTGTGCCTAAAGTACATATAGAACTAATACTTCTGACACATACTATGATATTGGGTCCACCATGCATGTAGATTATCTACCTTGAGTTTTATCACTCCCCCCCCCCCCCCTTTGAACTTTTACTTGCCCTGTTAATCCCACCAATCAAATTTCAAGTGATTATGCAAATATTAAGTTAGAATTGCTATATCCAATATTGTCATTACTTTTCCTGGGAGAGTGGACGTTTGGAAACTTGGTGTGGATTTGCTCAGTTTTATTTTTTACATTTTTTAATTTTGAAGTTCAGATGTAACAAGACATGATAGATAACAATTGGCTGGTTTGCAGAATTTATTTTTATATGGATATGGTGCTATATTCAACTTCATAGCAATTCTTGGAACTGCCATTTTTAAAGGTACGATGAAACTAACAATTCTGGTTTGCAGGTATCTTTGACTGATCCAAAGATATCTTGTCCTTTCTGAAACTAGTAAACGTATTAGTAGTTTGTTATGTACATATGTGTATGGATGAAAGAGGCCTATGAAGCTTTTCAATTTATTTTCATTTAGGTCTGTTTAAATCTTTACTGAATTAATAGAGAAGCAGTGCTTTCATGTAAACAAACTTTAGTCCATTAAGGCAGTGTTGGAAGTTCTTTTCCTGGTATTACCTGTTTCATATCAGAACTCTGTCTAGCCAATATCACATTGTATTTTTTTTAAATTTTTTATAATTGTAGTTGATGTACATTTTCAGCAGAATTTGTACAATTCTGTAGTCCTTAGTTTCTATAATCAGCTTGAGGGGGAGTCTAGAGATTATAGGTCAAATGGGCCTTAGTTTCTTTGTTTTTCTTTAAGTTATGTTTATGACTTGTGTTAGTAGGTAGTGGGCCTATTTTTCTTTTTTTTATTGTTTTTTTATTGCTATCTTTAGTGATGGACGCCCTACTAAGGGCACTTGTGTAGTTCTTATTTTTTACGACAAAAGAATAAAAGAGATCCTTGGTGTTAAGGGCCCGTGAATAGGATCTCGTCACAGGTCGGTTAGCGGAAACTTCTTGTTTTCCCTTGTTTCTCCCTTTTCTCGAGGAACCTATCTTTAGCGCCCTAATGGTGATTTGTTAAAGAGACCACCAACTCTCCTCTGCTCTTTCTTGACTGAAAATATCAATAATTTTATTGAATATCATCTGCTCCTTTAAATAGGAAATTACAAGAAGATAAGAGTCCTTCTTTAGGAAAACTTCCTAATAAATAGGAAATAATAATGCTACTGCCTAATGAATAGGAACACTGAATTTACATAAGAGATAAGATAGGAACATTGAATTTAGCTAAGAGATAAGATAGGAACACTGAATCTAACGCCCATCACTGCTGCTGTTTGTGGCTGTATTTCTTTCCAATAAAAGCATCCACAACATTACTCCCCTCCTGGACTAAGAGCTTGTCCTCAAGCTCTAATTCAGGATAGGTGTCTTGAAACACAGTCAAAGGAATCTAGGTAGCTTCAGCCAATGGTAAGCTGGCCCATTCCACCAGAACTTCAACAACTCCTCAATTGATTCTGGAGCGAACAATAGATTGAGGCTGGAAAATGATTTTGCCCTCCTTCAAAGGTGGTAATGAGGGAACACTGATAGGAGGAACACCCTTAAACAGCTTGAGCAAGGAAATGTGGAAAACATCATGAATCCTACTGTGCTCTGGAAGTTCCAGCTTATATGCAACCTCACCAATTCGCTGCAAAACCTTGAAAGGCCCATAGAACTTAGGAGCTAATTTAGGAACAGCCCTGTGGCTTGCCGGTGGGATCTACAACTATTATTACTGTCTAAATAAAATAGAATGAGTTGTAGAATTAATGATTGGCTTCTCTGACTTGAATGTTTCCAGGTCCCAATAGCCTTGATATTCTGCAAGGACACTCAAAAGCAACTATATTTTTAATATGCAACAATGCAGCACAAGGCATTTTGTCCTCATTTTTCTTTAAATATGCAGGTTTGTTTTATGTACTTTTATTTTATAAAGTGTTTTGGCATTTTTAAAGCAAATCCTATTTTTCAGACTATTGATCATTATTTCTGAAAAAATTATATTCCTTATACCCATTGTAATTGGAAGTTTTTACTTAATGCCTGCAGATACAATTTTGAAGAAATATTCATCAACTGTTGCCACAATATTTACAGGCATAGCATCTGCTACATTATTTGGCCATACTCTAACTGTAAATTTTGTTTTAGGAATATCTATTGTGTTTATCTCAATGCACCAGGTAATTAAAGGAAGACAACTATTTCTTAATTTTCTTTTCACTTGAATTATATTTTGGGGCATACCTTACATATGGTTTTTCATTTCACTCTTCAGTTCTTTTCATCTTTATCAAAAGTAAAAGAAGAACCACAAAACGGAGCCCTGGAAATGATGGATGTTCAGAATAATCGCAGGCATGTCCTTTTTTTTTCATTGCTTCTATTTACACCGAACATTTTCATTGTTGTAAAAAGGATTATGAAAGAATACTTGCATCTCATTAGAGTATTTCACCTCTTAACTGCACTTCTATTGTTGTATTCTGTGTATTTATTAGGGGATAGTGGGTGCAGCTTTCTGTTTGTGTGTGTTGGTTGTGTTAAAGGTTGAGTTGGGGAAAACCTATCTTGTATATGGTTCTGTTCATTTTGATTACTATAAGTAAAAATAATTATGATCTAATCTTACTAGTTACAGTATCTGCCTGTCTTTTAATGAATGGGAAAATATCAAATGACCCAGAAGAAAGTTTTGCAATATTATGCTATGGTGATTACTCGGAAACTGTCTGGTGATTTAAACACATGCAGTATATACTTGGGATGAGTCTGCCAATGACAATGTTGAAGTTCCATCCTTCCATTTGAATCTCATATGGATATTTGTTTTATCAGGTCAAAGGAATCATCTTTCGTAAATATGGCAGCAGGAGCAAATGAGGATGTGAGATTAAAATATGTGTTTCATTTCTTGTTAAAATTCATTAAAGATTGACAATACCTTTTGACTATTATGGCTATGTTCTATTCTTTTTATCCTTTTCTCTAGGCTAATCATCACATTCGATCTAATCAGAGGGAGCCACTTCTTCCTACCTAGATTACTTTCAAGGTATACTTCTGTTTTTTTATGGGTGCTTTTCTTCCTTTCCAAATGAAATTCTACTCTTTGAATATGCTACTTCTTTTTTTTTGGCAAAAAGTGGCTGCATTGTCCTGATACAATGCTTACCTCAAATGCATCTATTTACATACTATACCCATTTCTAGTCATGTTTGTACCTCCATTATTCCTTTTTTCATTTCATTGATTCTTAAAGAATATTTGAAGTTTCTTTGAAAATGTGACTAATACTTCTCTGTCCAACTTTGCTGGGTCTTTCTGAAATGCTTTATGGGGACTATTTCAGATATGAGACATTTATAGCTTTATGTATTGTTAATGGTTCGGTTAGCACTGGTTCAGTTCTATGTTTGAAATAAGAGAGGAGGAGAAGAAGAGGAAGAAAATAGAGAGATCGACCAGAGAGAAAGAACCACTTTTTTAGTTGATTCCCCTCTTATTTATATGTTATGTGACTTAAACAAAGACAACTGGCAACATAACTCTAATTACGTAGGAAAAAGACTAAACTACTCTTATGACTGGTGACTCTAACACTCCCCCTCAAGCTGGTGAGTATATGTCATATAATCCCAACTTGTTACATATGTAATCCACTCTCCCTTGACTCAACCCATTTATAAGCAGAATCTTCCCACTGGTTTCCTGAATTTACATATGTTGTACTTATCACTCCATTGAGCACCTTTTCTCTTACAAAGCGGCAATCAACTTATTCTATGTGCTTTGTTCTCTCATGGAAAATTGGGTTAGAGGAAATATGGACTGTGTCTTGGTTGTCACAGTATAACTTCATAGGGCTGTCAATTGGGAATCCCATCTCTTACAAAAGATTCTTCAACAACACTAGTTCACATGTAGTACGTGCCATGGTCCTGTATTTAGCTTCAACATTGCTTCTTTCTATTGTGGTTTGTTTCTTGCTCTTTCAAGTAACCAGATTTCCCCTAAGGAAGGTACAATACCTTGTAGTGGATACTCCTGTCAGAAACTAAGCCAGCCCAATTGTCATTTGTGTAACCTTCTACCTCAAGACTTCCTCCATTCTTATATAACAAGCCATGACCTAGAGCTCCCTTCAAATATCGGACAATCCGTAGAACTGCATCCTAGTGTGGAACCTGAGGATGTTGCATAAACTGACTCACCACACTCGTTGCAAATGATATATCGAGCCGAGTAATAGTCAAGTAGTTCAACTTACCCACCAACCTTTTGAATCTCCTAGGATCTTCAAACTCCTCACCTACATCAGTACTTAATTTGACATTTTGTTCTATAGGTGTTTCAGTCGGTTTGGTACCTAACAGTCTTGTCTTCTTTAGCAAGTCAAGAACATACTTTCTTTGGAACAGGTTAATACCATGCCTTGACCTTGCAACTTCTATTCCCAAAAAATATTTCAGATTACCAAGATCTTTTGTTTGGAAGTGATCATGTAGAAAAGTCTTCAATCTGTCAATCCCCGTACTATCACTATATTTATGACAATGTCATCTACATACACCACTAACAATATCTTTCCAGCCTTTGGTTCGTAGTTGAACACAGAATGATCTACCTAACAATGTTTTATACCAAAGCTTTTTACTACTTCACTAAACCTGCCAAATCATGCACATGGAAACTATTCCAACCTATAGATTGCCTTCTTAAGTCTACAAACCTTACCATCTTTCCCCTAAGCATCAAACCTTGGTGGTTGCTCTATATATACTTCCTCAAGGTCACCGTGTAAGTAGGCCGTTTTATGTCAAGCTGAATACGTTACTGCTAAAGATATCAACACTTGGACAGATTCAACCTTGGCAATTGGAGAAAAAGTTTCTGTGTAATCAACTAGATATCAATGTTTTAAAACGTGGAGGTGTGATGTGAGGCATTCCACTTGTAGAAGAACTACTGAAGGGTAGTTTTGTAATTCTATTGTACTGAACTTTATTTTTTCTTCTTGTACTATAATAGGCGTGTACTTTAGTGTACAACTCCTTTTTTATTTTCTTTGTAAGGACAATCTTGTCCATTTACATAAGATTAATATAAATACATCATTTTTGGGTTGGTTCGATCAGATTGATCAACCTTAACAGATCTGGACTTTTGTCTTTCTCTTTTCTCTCTTACTCTTTCTCGAACTAACATGGTATTAGAGCAGGCTGTTCTCTGATCCTTTTCTCCTCTTTTTGATCAGTGTGACATCTTTTGTCACTGCCGATTGAATCTGGATTGTTTTGATCTATCCAGTGATTTGTTCTCTGTGTTTTGTGCATCCAAGGAGAGAGATTTTATTAGATCTTTCTCGTACGACTTCAGTTTGCAGTGAGATTTGAAAGGAAGTGTTGCCTAGGTCATCTCATCATATTCTGAAACTTTCATCGAGATCTGAGAAGAGTTGAGAGAGATCTATACATCTCTTCTGGGTGGCTGCACCCAAACTTTCCTTTTCTAGACTGTGTTTCAAGTTTTCTTCTGCTGAAACTTGGACACTTTCTGGTGACTGTAAGAGGCTTCTATTATCAGTTTCTTTGATTCTCACAGCTGCATTACTTCCTTACTGCTCGACTAGGTCGATCTTTACTTATTTCCTGTTCATTATGGCTTTGGAAAAGAGTGAATTTATTTCCGTCAAATTTGATGGGAGCAACTTTGCTCTCTGGAAATTTTATTTTCAGTACTTTGTTGAAGGGAAAGGCATGTGGGGTTACATTGACGGTTCCACTCCCATGTCTGACGCAAGTGATGTCAAAGGGCTGAAACAATGGAGAACCGAAAATGCTCAGGTTACATCATGGATACTTGGGTCTATTTCAATGGATGTCAGTATCCTGATGAGAGGTCTCAAATCTGCCCATGACATGTTCGAATACCTAGAAAAGGTATATCAACAATCGAATATGTCTAGGCAATATCAGATCGAAATCAATCTCTTCTCCTATGTTCAAGGGAGAAGCGGATTCAGGAATACTATGTAGGATTTATAAATCTTTGGACTGAATATGAACTAGCTCACTTTGGGAATCTTTCTACAGATTGTTGTGTGAAGACTATGAAGAAGCATCTCACTAAGAGAAAGACCTTGCATTTCTTGATGCATTTCAGGCCTGACTATGAAACTCTTCGTTCCAGCATTCTTAGTAGAGAACCAGTCCCTGAACTAGATGCAATCCTTGGAGAGTTGTTACGGGAGGAAACACGTCTTTCTACTTTATCTGCACTTGATTAGAAGAAGGAACATGGGATTGATATTGTGTTCTTAGCCACCAAACAGAAGGGTACGAAAGACTTCCCGAAGTTGTAGTGTTATGAATGCAAAGAATTTGGTCACGTGGCATTCCACTGCAAGAAGAAAAATTTCTGTACTTACTGCAAACAACAAGGGCATATCATTGTGGAATGTCTGACTAGGCCTCCCAAGAAAGGACAGCATAAGGCTAATCAGCCCTCAATCAAATCTGTTTCTATTGATGCTGCCACCTCATCATCAGCCCACAAATCAGATGCCCAGGGAAATCTGATTGAAGAAAAGATCCGTGAGCTCATGTCTCCAACTATTTCTTCTACTTTTTCTGCTTTTGGACTGGCTGGTAAGTCTGTTTTTTTGTGTTCATCTCTGTGTCACATGTGGATTATTGATTTAAGGGCCTCAAATCACATGACTGGTGCCTCCTTTGGTCAGTCTCCTAAACCTAGATCCTTCAACAACCATATTATTACCGCTAATGTTGATTCTTTACCTGTATATGGTTGTAACGATTTGTTCTTATCCACCACTAAGACCAAACCCTTACATCTTCCCAAAACTTTCTTTGTCCCTAAATTGACTACTAGTTTAATATCTATCGGACAACTTGTTGATGATGGTAATAATGTCTTATTTACGCGTGATGGTTGTTTCATTCAGGACCAACACACTGGGGAGCTGAAAGGGATGGGGCATAGGCTTGGGAGGCTGTTTGCTTTGGAATTCGAGACTAAGAGATCTTCACCGGATTCTTGTTTGCTATCTGTTTCTCCTAGTTCTTCTATTTCTTCATGTAATAATGTGTGGCATTTATGGCATAGACGTTTGGGTCACACCCATGCTAAGAATTTGGATTATTTGTTTTCCTTTGGTTGTTTGCCTTTGAATACTTCTTCAGTCAAGAATATTGATAAATCTTGTTTAACTTGCTACTATAGTAAAAGTCATGTTTTACCTTTCCCATCTTCTACTGAACATGCATCTACACCTTTTTATCTCATTCATAGTGATGTGTGGTCGTCTCCAGTCATTTCACGCTTGGGTTTTAAGTACTTTGTATTATTCATTGATGACTATACTCGTTACACACGGGTTTACTTTCTTAGAAGGAAATCAAAAATCTTCTCCATGTTTAAGAACTTCCATGCTATTGTAATGACCCAGTTTAAAAGCACCATAAATATTTTGAGGTCAGATTCAGGGGGAGAGTACTACGATGGTGAGGATGATGAGTTTCAAACCTATCTTAAACAACATGGCATTCAGTCCCAGAGATCTTGTCCTGGTACTCCTCAACAGAATGGAGTATCGTAGCGCAAGAACTGTCATATTGCTAGTATGGTGAGGTCCTTGATACAAGATTCACATTCTCCCCTTACCTTCTGGGTGGAGGACCTGCACTGCTGTTCATCTCATCAATAGTCTTCCTACACCTATTCCTGAAAATTCTTCTCCCCATCAGGCCTTATTTCATCGCCCACCAAACCTATCCATTCTTCGTGTCTCCAGATGTGTTTTCTTTGTCCATCTCCCTCCCCTTGAACGCACAAAACTAACAACTCAATCAGCTATGTGTGCTTTCATGGGATACGGTACAAAACACAAGGGGTTTCTCTGTTATGATCCCAAAGTCCGTCAGTTGTGCATTTCTCGCAATGTCATATTTCTTGAGAATCTCTCATTCTTTGAACATATTTGTAAATTACCTGCACCATCCATTTCTGTTCTGCATGACTTTAGATCTACA